CATTGTCCTCAATGGAGGAATTAAAGCAATTAAAGTGAAGAGGACAACGAAACTTCCCTCTCAAGTGGCTACGGGGTAGGCGGGGACGATGGAGGGAAACCGATGTGGTGGAAGTACGCGCCCAAGTTCTGAGACATCATAACTCAATTCAACCAGCAAATGCCAAACTCTGTCCACCCAAAATCTCAACAAAGGCTCCAATTGGTCAGTGAGTATCTCAACTCAAAATCGACAATTCTAGCAATAGTAGATCCAAATTTTGACAAGAACAAAACAGGCCAGCGACCACAATTGAAACCACAGCCCACCAATTCAAATGTACTCTACCAATTGCTATCAAGCAATTCAAGGAAAATCCACCCAACCACTAGTTGCGAACATTCCCATAAAGCATAACCGCTCACAGTAATAAGCATATGACCTTCGAAACCAACATAATCCAGCAAAGTAGCGCACAACTTTGGCCTCAGTATCTCAATTACAAACTCGTAGCTATTAGGCAGGCAACCAACCAAATAAAAGTAACAAATCCAGGTCCAATTACTCCAACCAGTACCACTGGTGGAGGCACAGGGAAAAATTAAAGCAAATGACCAACCCAAAGTATTGATAATTCCAAGCAACGCCAAGCAGTACCAGAAATCGAAAAGACCAAAATGGTAGTCAATTGGGCAAATAACTCCCAAGGCAAATAGAGGCAACCTACTTCAATAAGCAACGGAAATGGCACAGGAGCCGTCCAATGCATCAATTAAATGCAATAAACCCCAACCAAAGGCAGCTCAATAGACTCCAGGCAAAAAGTACCAAATGATACTCGATTGACACCAAAAACGATCCCAACAAAGCAGAAAGATCGAAGGATACTCAGTCACAGATGCTCAATCATATCGAAATAAGAAATTGTAAGCAAATTAGCACAACCAGTACCACTCATGTATACACAGGAAAGGAGGGAACCACATGGCCAACCCAATGAATAAAAAGCACAACTGAGGCACCCCAAAGGCTAGAAAAGTACCCTAACAACACCGCAAATTGAATGAATATGCACTGGGTCACCCATTCAGTCAAAATAAGATTAAGGGGCATGATACAGAAACTAACAAAGCAGAACTCAAGTGATACCAACAGGGACCCCAACAGAGCAAAGAATTCAACCAATTGGAGCAAGTGAAATTCAACAAATGTCACCAATTGGACATTTAATTACCCAATTCAACCGACCAAAATTATTAATTGAGCCAAGCAACTGGCAATTCTAGCAACCACCGTTTAGAATTTGAGAAACAATTTAAGCACTAAAACCCAAGAATCAAGTAGGCAGTCAAGCATAAAGGATTAAGAAATTTTAGTCAACACCACAACCAGTACCACTGGTGTACACACAGGGAGGATTTAAATCAAACAGCAGCAACTCAATAAATATCAGGAAATATCCCCACGTATGGCAGCAATTAAACCCAATTCCGTCCACAATTTTACCCTAGAATTTTCCCAAAACAACACCTTCTTCTAATCATCAGAAACCCAAACACAAATTCCAGAAATTTATGCTAATCGGGGAAGAAATTACAATACCTCCACCTGTCAATTTTGACAGGTGATGACGTGCGGCAATGGAGGAGAACGGGAGATGCGCTGCTGGGCAGGAGGAGAAGTGGTGGTTGTGGTCGTGGAGCCTGGGCAGAGTGGAGGAGAGCTAGGGGAGATTGGTGGCGCGTCTTGGCTGCGAGGGTGACCGCTGGTGTGGGCGATGGCAGCGTGGACGTCGAGTGAGGGAGAGGCGGCGGCGGACTGGTCAGTGAAGGGGGAGATGGGCGGCACTCTGTCTGGCTTGCGGCAGCTCCTGGCCGCGAAGTGAAGCTGCCCGTGGTGGAGGTAGAAGCTGCGAGGAGCTGGTGGCGGAGCTCGCGGAGAGAGAGAGATGAGCGCGGGCAGCGGCTTGGGCCTGGCGAACTGGTCGTGGGCGACGAAGCTTCATGGCCGCGTGCGGCGTGGTTGGTGAGCAGCGGCGGCGCACGAGTTGGTCGTCGCTGGTGGAGGCGCGATGTGGGCGCTGCCTCTGGTGCTGCTGGAGGCGGATGAGCTGGGTGGAGCAGCGAGGTTGGAGGCGGACCGAGGAGCTGTGGAGGACGCCAGGGGGGAAAGGAGGCACACGTCAATGGCGTCGGGCAGCGGCGTCTCCGTGGGCGAAGGAGATGGCGGCGGCCAAGAGGTGTGCTCGGCCGAAAGAGAAGAAGAAACAGGGGAGAAGAAAGGAGGAAAAGAGAAAGAAAAAAGAAAGAAAGAAAAAGAAAGAAAAGAAAAGAAGGAAAAAGAAAAAGAAAAAAAAGATTTTTTTTTAGGCTCCATTGGAGCTACGGTGAGAAATATTTTTTTTCTTTCTTTTTTTTCTTGTTTTTTTTTTTTGTTTTTTTTTACGGGAATCAATGTTTTTTAAAAAAAAAAAATTTTTTTTTTTTGAATTTTGGAAACTAAAGCTACGGTGATAAGAAAAATTCTCTTTATTTTATTTTTTTTTTTTGAATCTTACCTTTCCCGCGAACGTGACGCGGGCACGTCAAGAGAGCACGAGAGCTCCCAGAAGTTTCAGAAATTTCTGATCGTGAGCTTCCTGCACATCATTACGCGGGCGCATCATGAGGCCAAGAGAGCTCCCAGAAGTTTCAGAAATTCCTGATCGTGAGCTTCCCGCACGTCGCCACGCGGGCGCGTCATGAGTGAAGGTCACCTAGAAATCAGCAAAAACGAAAATTAACACCCAAAATCAGTCAAATTCAAGGAAAACAGATTCAAACTATGACACGAAACCAACAAACAACTAAAAGAAACAATTGGGTTGCCTCCCAATGAGCGCCTTTCTTTAATGTCTTTGGTTAGACGTTGCCATGTTTTGTTCATGGAAGATAAAATCGTGTGGCTCGTTTTAATGCTTCATCCTCTATATAGTCCTGATAACCCTCGTAAATAGAGTAATCCTTGAGCATACGAGTTACGGGCTTCCATGGACTAGTTGATGGCGCCAAATAATCAAGCAGTGATTTCAATTCTTCATCCACTCCTCCATCAAGAGCACTCAACGGCTCAAGGTATTTGACCATAGCTACTCTTAACTCATTCCTGCCATGAGACTCAAGAACTTCCGGTATAACAAAGTTAATCTCATTAACAGAAATCATAAAGTCAGAGTTAAGAAAATGCGGGTTAGGGAATGGAGGTGGTGTCACCACATTTGATGATTCTTCACTGGATTCTTCCACTTGAATGGGTTGCGGTTGGGGCTCCATTTCTTCCTTTTCGGCTTCTTTTTCAACCGCATCTGTAGATTTCTCATTTTGACACTCTTGCATCTCCTCATTCTTGTCCTTAGGGATCACAGGCTCAGGCCCTTGAACCTCTTTCCCACTCCTTAGGATCATTGCGCTCCCGTTCTTCGGATTCAACTCCGGTTGAGATGGCAGCTTCCCTTGGTTCTGGGACTCCAAACGGTTCATTCTGGTGGCCAATTGACCTATCTGATTCCTTATGTCCTGCATTTCGGAGTCCGTCTTTTGCTGATTTTGCATAATAGCTGCCTCCGTCCTTTGCTGATTTTGCGCCATGGTTGTCATCATTTGTTTCAGCATCTCCTCCGTAGATGAACCAGATTGAGGGGGCGGAGGTGGTCGGGGTTGGTATTGCTGCTGGTACCCTGACAGGGACGATGGTTGTTGAGACTCTTGCTGTTGAAAGTCCATTGGCCCGGTCGCATAATCAAAACTGGAATTATCCCACCATCCTTGATCATACCCGTTTGAATAAGGGTCATACTGCATTTGATATTGGGGTGGAAAATCTCCGAAAGTATCAATTGGAGCACTTAGATTGTCTTGAAATGCGGGGCATTTGTCAGTTGAATAACCTGAGTCAAAATAAGTTCCACAATTTGCAACAGCCCATTGATCATTAGGAAAAACATGAGTCTCATAACCCCATTCAGGAACAAAGTCCGGTCTATCATCAAAATATGGAATGCTAGCAGCCATAAACTATAAAAAAAATGAAAACAAGATGAACTTAAAAAGAAACAAATAACTAGCGCCAGTCCCCGGCACCGGCGCCAAAAGTTGACAGGGTGTCGAAGCCTGTGCAATAATAAATACCTGCTCAAACTAAAAGTAATTTCTGTAGATAGCAGTAAGCAGGGTCGAATCCACAGGGACTGGGAGTAATTGTTCCTTTCCAAATTCACAGTGACAAAGGGGGGTGTTTTTGTGCAGAAGGTGACAATCAAAGAAATTCAACTAAAATCTAAGAAACTACTAAAAATTAAATAACAAATTACTAAAATCTAATGAGTGATAATTAAGGATCTAGCCAAAGAATAACTTCAGCAATGGTTCACCTAATTGATCATCGATAAGCAAAGGCAATTCCAATTATTTACTAATAAATAGGTTATAACTGCCAAACAAGCGACGACAGTCAACCCCTCCTTACTGTGTCGGTGATCAAGGTACGCCCTTTAATCACTGCCCTAATTGAGAAATAATTCTAGGTACGCCCGTAGAATTTAATTCCCCAATTGCCTTACATATTAGAGGAGCCCTATTCTAACCAAATAACACACTACCAGGGTTATTTTAGATTAGCCCGCGTATCCCCCTGACACGAATCCAATCATGCCAGTTATCACTATTTTGAGACAATTAAACAATTACGGATTTAACGTCCCAATTGACAATAGATTATTAAATTAACTAATTATCCGGATCCAAGACAATCAATTAATTAAACAACCATAAGCACTACAACCAGGGAATATGCAAATACCAATAAATAAGAGAAAAAGATAAAATTAAATCGATCTCACAATTTTAGATGACCCAAAGCATCCGTTGTCCCTTGACTAGAGTGAAGAAATTTAGCTCATATTTGATGAACAAAATCCGCGAGAAATTGGAGCGACACTAGCGGCCATCGGCCTCGTTCGTGAGAAATCAATTTATGCGAGTGAATAAGAAGAAACCAGCAACTACAAACAATGATGCAATTCCTCGTAAGGCTCCTGACATGCACAGGAGAACTCCACTATCAAAAGCTAAGGAGGAAAAGTTCCTACTAGATGACGAAAAGATGGAAAAGTCAAAGAAACTAGGCTAAACTAAGAGATGAAAAATCAAAAGCTAAGCTATTGCTCCTATTCTAATGCCTACTGTGCGGCGTCCGCCGCCCAGCCGAGAGAGAAAAGAAGACTTCGGCCTCCTCCTTTTAATGCTGTCTTCGGGCCAATTACCAAGAAGGGTTGTGATCTGATATTCCAAAAATGTCCCTAGATGCCTGCTACTTGAACTCTTTCTTGATAATTGTCAAATTGGCCCTGATTGTGATATTTTTGTTCTACTCCCTGAAATAAATATAAATTACGAAAAGTGAGTAGAATCTAACAATTAATTCACATCAGGTCAAGTAATAGGGAAAATTAATAATAAAATAAATGATAAAATTGCAACCTATCAATTAACCATAAGAGAGATACATGGTAAAATATAAAATCATACAGGATTAGTGCGTCATATATTGATAAGGGTAATTTTAACATTCTTAACGGTTCCATTACGAGTGATAATTTTGTCATTTTGACACTTTAATTCAAACCATGAAAAGGTTATGTATAGTTTTAAAACTATAAGGGGGTTATGTAAAAAATACTAAACCACAGAGGGATAAAGTGTAATTTGTCTATTAAAATATTAAATAAGTTGGCAAAATATTTTAATTTTGACGCAAAATTTTGAACTAAAATTGTTTAGATCACCTCATTCTCAACCTCAAACCTTCACTTGCAAACTTGAATGGAAACTGGAAACTAATTGTAAAGTCTATAAAAGAATATTAATAATAATAACAGTAATAATAAAGAGCAATAATATTTTGCAAAGACCAATGACCAAGCCAGGATTTTTTTCTCGGGGGCCCAAAATTTTTTCAAACAAAATTACCTTAATATGTTATGTTCAAAATAATTTTTATTTATTTAAATATATGACATCTTAAAATATCAAGTATTAACTTTAATTATAAAGGTACGTCTATTTCATAAATATGCAACATAGTCATAACTAAAATTAAGACAAGATATAACCTTTGATTAAATATCTTATAACATCACAAACCATCTAAGTTGCACATTTTGAGAAGATGCTCCAATATGTCACTTGTGCAAAAAGAAAAATATAACTATGCAATATAAATATAACTATTTTCAATTAAAAAAAGATAAAAGTTATGTTAACATACTTTGAAATTTCATCCTCTTTTATTAAAAGTAAATTGAGTTTTACGTTCTTTCATAGAACTAAATTGATGTACAATTAAATCAATGCTAAATTTTTGACAACTTCTTTTCTTTATGTACGTTGTTATGCAATCATTCAAGAAGTTATCTTTTTATCCTGTTTTGGAGCTTTGTTTCGATTATTTTCATAATTGAGAATGTCCATTCTATAGAGTATAGAATGGAGTCAGGATATTTTCCTTGGGAGGGGGCCCAAAATTTTTCTGAACAAAATTATCTTAATATATTATATTCAAAATAATTTTCATCCATTTAAATATATGATATCTTAAAATATCAAATATTAACTTTAATTATAAAAGTATGTCTATTTTGTCATAACAAAATGCCATGCAATTGCAAAAATTGAAATTTAAAAATGCAGTGAAGTCGAAGCAAAATGAAACTTACGGTAGCAGACTAAACAAGTTTGCTTCGAATGATTTCGGGCACACAAGTCAGACCAGAAGTTGATGAAAGCTTCTCTATCTCTTCTGCTCCTTTGTTGAATTGGTGGTAATGAAGAATGGTGACGAGCGAAGTTGGAGAAAAGGTTTGGAATAGAGTCTGTGATCAAAGAAAGGCCAAGAAATAAGAAGATGTTTACAAGTCATTAGAAAACAATATGAAATTGGAATGTTGTCTGAAATGATGAGAAGATGATGGAGCAATTACGTGAGTAATAAATAGAAGGACCAGCCACAAGAAATTGTCCTTTGATGTGAGAAATCCAGAATAGTATGGAAAATTTATATATATATATGTGTGTGTGTGTGTGTGTGTTCTTTCTTTATTGGGTGTAAGAAAGAAAGTCGAAGTTCCTAACCGCTTAAGAAAGTGAAATGCAGGAACGAAAGAAGTAGACGCTGATTCACCCATTTAGAAATTCTCAATGATTGTACTCAACCTTTGCTTCGTGACTTTGCTCCAATTATCAGTCCATTTAATGCCAAAAAAAGAAAGAAAAGCAAGAAATCAAATTGTAAAAAATTCTAAAAATCCAGAATAGTATTGGACTTATAAATTAATTTTCTTTTCCATTTCTTTGGTTTAATGATTCGAACTTGATATCTACTTGTAATTTAATACAAAATATTCTAATCCAAAGTTGTCTAACAATAAGTTCTTCGTTATGAAGATAATTGTAAGAACACCAATAAATTCAGATTCAACTTGTATAACCAGTATTGAATTAAAAAATGTCTTACCATGCCAAATTTATATTGCAGCTCATGTTTTTATATTCGTTTTCATACCACCCTACATAAGGAAAAAAATCTATCAATATGAACATATCCCAGAGTTTTACTTTAAAGTACTAAATGAAATAGCCAATTAGTTACAAAAGTTAATTATAATACATGCTTAATAATGGGATATATTTGGAGACAATAAACAAAATTCGAAGAAAATAATATGTAATATAAAGCATTTACTAGAAAATTAAATTTTGTAGATCAACTAATTTAGGAACATTCTAAAAATATTTAGACAATTTAATATTTTTCCTAAGGCAAAAAGTTGAAGTGAAGGGGAGGCAATACCATTTTTCTATAATTCTTGTTGAGAGGAGGGGGGGACGGAGGGAGGGTTAGGGGGGGGGGGTGCGCAGCCAACCCCAGGCCTCGTGACGATTTTTTTTTGGTCCAATTAATACGTATGCATGGGGGTAGCATTTGAGTCTCTGTTAAAATCAAATGAACTTTCAGACAAAAAAAAAAAAAGGAAAACAAAACAATTAGGGAATTTTTTTTCCTTTCACATATTCTTTTAGTATATTTTTATATTTTCTTTATTGTTATAGATTTTTTATGAATTTTAAACTTAGTATAAAACCTTATTAAATGGACTAAAGACCAATTGAAACGTTTAAAAAATCAGAATGGTCAGCACAAAACTTGTGAAAAAATAGAAGACAGAAGAGAATTGGTGAAAAATATAATAGCAATTTTTCCCCCCTTTTTGTGATTATCATAATTATTAGTTTTAACTTTTTGCAATCATGTATAAGTCCAAAAACAGTCAACATATCACCTGAGCAAAACAAGTTTCTCACGTGAATCGAAATTCAATATATTCCAAGAACCAAGAGTTTGAAAACTAAAGTTGAAAGCGGATACAGATTTGCGTTACATCAATTTCAACTCCAATTTATCTAAAGTTTGCTAAAAAAAAAAAAAAAAAGAGCCACTTATGGTCAAGCAAATTTATAGGAAAACTGTCAATAGTTTCAAAATATATAATTTGACATCTTATTGTTCAAACTAAATTGAAAAGACGATGAAAATCATTAATTGACGTGAGTAGACCAAATGACAAAAATATCCTAATATATATAAGGACAAAATGCAGAAACACCTCTTTTGGTTAAACAACTTACAAGAAAGCCTCCAGTAGTTTAAAAAAAAAAAATATTCATCCCTTTCACACATAAAATAGTTGTTCTGATTTGGTTAATATTTGTATATGGAGTAACACGATGATAACAAAAAAAAAAAAAAAAACCACAATCATTCATTGCACACATAAAAGTATAATAGTCCTTTTGATGGCCTTTATGACCTCAACAATTTTTACTTTCGCTTTTTGTGAACACTCACAAATCTTGTACTGGTATCGTAGGGTCTAGTTTTATTGTCTACCCGAGAGCTTGAGACAGATATAAGCAACTATTTGCAAAATTTTTCTTCACTTTATACAGAGAAAAAGTATTGAAATTCTTACTTTAAAATTTTAAAAAAGGCCCTCTAACATAATATTATAATAGCAAAAATCCAAATTTAAAACTTTTACCATACCTCAAAAGTAGTGTGCATAAGATTGGTAGTTGATTTCTCTCAAGAAACTTTACTCCTTTTTCAATATATTTTCTGAAAGTTTCGGATCAAATCCAACTTGTATGTTTTGAAATTACAGAGAATTTTTTTTTCTATAGGTTGGGTTAACCATAGGATGCTTTTTATAAGAGACAGAATAGGTATATCGATTGAAAATTGATTATAAAAAACTGTTTTCAGGTACTATCAGTTGCAAAACAAGCGCGTGTGCCTTAAACACGTTAATTTTGACGATTTCCATTACCTTTTCAGTTTAGTTCAAACCATGAGATATCAGATTATATGTTTCAAAACTACTGAGACTTTCCTGTATGCTCGTTTAACCACAAATGCCTTTTTTACCCTTAGTTCAATATTAGTTATTGATTTACTTGAGGCTTTCCTCTTGTAAAACTTTATCAATGATCGTAATAAATTTCCATCTTTTGCTAAAAATAGTGATTGTAATTGCCCTATTTGACGAATTTTAACGGAATTCAATAGAATTTGCAAATTTTGATAATGAAAAAGAAATTCAAGAAAAATGAAGCTTATGGTCAAATGGTATCGGGCTCAGTACTTAGTAGTCAGTCCAGTCCAGTCCAGTACTGGATGAAGCTTCACTACCGACTCCTTTTGGTGTGGACTCTGTGCTCAAAGTTCGTTGTTGTCCCACACAATATACAGAAATTAGAATGCAGTCCGAAAGAAGATGATGGAAACTGAGCAATGAATGGACCAGGAAGCAAATGTGTGGCTAATCACTGCACTGCACCCTTTCGATGGTGCGGACATATGAATTGACCAGGGAGAAATAAGTTGTCCTTTGATGTGATTAATCTACAGCACTATGAAAGTAGAAATTGAATTTTACATGACAGTAACTGTAATTCAAAACGCTCACATCTATTATATTATTATGATAAGCTTCCCTCAATTACTTGAGGAATGCAAGTGAAGATCAATCATGCTTATGCCGAAGCGATTTTTTTAATCTTTTAAATATAGATTTATCTATTTACACAGACAGCGTATGAAATTACAGCTTAAATTTAAGTTGGAATTAGTTAGCAAGCAAACAAAGAGTATATTTTCTCCTTTAATTCTTTCTTTAGATTCTATTTTGCAAGAAATTCTTGTTTTACACAAAGCCCGCCCATAATTCTACTGATTAGTTTTACATCAAATTAGACTGACAAGTGACAAGAAATTGTCCTGTGAGGCGATTACTCAAAAGTGACTGTGAGGGAAAGAAATTTGCAAAATTTTGGGGCGAAAGTAAAATAATAAACATTGTAAAACATGTTATTCTGGTTTCACGACCGGATGTGCATTCCGAAAAGCTCCTTGCACGCTTTTATTGTGTATTTTTTTTTTTTATCAAATTACACATGTTTGATAAGTATTTTATCAAATTACACACGTTTGATTTAAAAAGTTTCAGAAAGTGTTTAAAATGTTGAAAAGAATGTGAAAGTCTCATAAACCTTTGGCTTTGTGAGCCTCTCCATTTGCATGAGCATTCGTGTGAAAGCAGCCAAAGACTAAAAATTCTGCTTTTGACTACGGGGAGTTTCATTGTACCTGATCAGGAAGTCTTGCCCAGTCAGGACCTATAATTTGGGTCAATGTGAAAGTTTCTAAATTTTTTGTAGGCCAAGTTTTACTTTTTGTTTTTAAAGATTTTTTTAACCCTCCATTTCACGTCCACTTGATCAGTTACCGTCCATTCGACTTGACATTAGAAAGATTTTTAAAGTCATCCCCTATTCCCATGAAAATCTTTTAGAATTTCGGGGACAAATAACATAAATTTTTAGACTTGGGGATGATCCGCTCTCCTTGCTTCAGTCATTTGAAGTATAATAGGATTGCAAAAAACTATAGGAAACTTTAGCTTTCTTTCTTCAGAAATAATCGGTTACCATTACTATTATTTTTGTTTAGTTCTATTGTAATTTTTATTAAAGCAGAAATAGGAAATAGGTTCTATGGTTCAATCTCAGGGCTTCAGCTAAATTCGTATCCTATACCTCAACAATTATCCCATTTAACTGTATGATAAAACATAGAAATTGATACCCAAAAAAAAAATAATACAGCAACTAAAACAAGAAGATCACAACCATCATGTATTTGTCTAACATACTCAACCCAATTCTACTAGTATAGCAGAAAAAGTGCATAAGAAAAAAAGTAATTTCTGAACTTTTATTTATTTTGCTTCATGGTGGTATTCAAAACACCAAACTTTGGTTTGCCTTGAGAGAATTGTAGCCTTGTAAGATAAATTGTCGAAAGAATTCTTCCACGGTGCATCCAAAATATTGAAGTTTTAAGGTACCATTGAAAATAGAGGACACCATCTCATGACTATCTTAGATTGATTATATATATTTTAAAAAAAAGTTGATTTTGGAATATGGCATCACATGTTTTGAAGTTTATAATTTGACCAGTGATCTAGAAATGGAAGGCCTTTATATTTTTAGATATCAAATCAATCTTCATATAAACTCAAACTAATCCTCTTTCTGAAAATCTTATGGGCATGGGATCAAGAGTTTCAAAATCAAACACGTTTTCATCAATTTCAACTCCAGTTGATTCAGGATTTATACTAATGAGCGCGTTAACATAACCATAGCATGACCTTAAGACCGGGGGGGGGGGGGGGAAGATTCCTAGCAATAAGGCCCAATTTGTTCTCCGAATTTAGCAAGGAAAAGGAAATCAAAGAAAAGAAAAGTAAATTGCTTTGGAAATGTTAAATCCCTCATCTTGTTTGGTTATGAACGAAACTAGCAAGGAATGATCTCTACAATATTTCTTTTCTTTTTTTTTTCTGTTTGATTTGTTGATTTTCAAAATGAAATCCTTTGCTTTTCTTTTTCCTTTTCATGAAAATTAACTAATAAGAAGATGAATTTTGAAAAGGAAAACGAAACGAAAATTTCCTTTTTTTCTAAAAATTGAAAAATTAATAGACAATCAACTAAAATAAGTTGGCAAAATATTTTAATTGCCAATCTTCCAACTAAAATTGTTTATATCTCCTCATTCTCAACCTCAAACCTTCACTTGCAAACTTGAAAGCAAACTGGAAACTAATTGTAGAGTTTATAAAAGAATATTAGTAATAATAAAGAACAATAATTAATTTTGCTAAGACCATATGACACGAATTTAACAAAATGCCAAGCAGTTGCAAAAATTGAAAATTAAAAATGCAGTGAAGTCGAAGCGAAATGAAACTTACGGTAGCAGACAAAACAGGTTTGCTTCAAATGGTTTCGGGCTCTCTATATCTTCTGCCTCTTTGGTGAATTGTTGAGCTCTGTATCTCTCCTCTCAGTCCAGAGGGTGAATTGGTGAAATGAGAAACGGTGACGAGTGAAGTTGGAGAAAAGGTTTGGAAATAAGAAGGTGTTACCAAGTCATAAAAAATGAAATGATGAGAAGGACCAGCGACTAGAAATTGTCCTTTGATGTGAATAATCCAAAAGAGTATGGGACCTATAGCAATTATTATCATATTTGGTGCAAGAAAGAAAGTGGAAGTTTCTACCCGCTTTAGCAAGGGAAATGCGTTCAAATAATTCTAAATTAATGACTGCATAGCAATTAACTACAGTCCAAATCCCATAAATATGTTCCTTTCCGATCTTCGTAATATTGAAATAGTAACATTTAATATGGCTATACGAGCTTAAAATAGAATTAGAATTGGTTTTATTTCCTAGCCTACTGTCTTTAGCTTCAAGTTTTGTATAGAGGGGAAACATATTACTTTGCTATATATTAATTTGAGAAGTTTACTAAAGCATGGAGATGTAGCGAAACTTACTGAATTACTGACCAATTAATTAAGCAATGCTTTTCATTCTTTTTTCTTAAAAAAAGAAAAGCCACAGGGGGTTTCCAAGAATAATTTGAAGAATTAATATGCAATTTACACGATTTGAAAGCCAGTTCAAAGGACAAAAGTGAACAGAGGAATTTTGAAGGCAATAACCTTACGAGAAACGAGAGGGCGAATGCGGTCGCAACGAGGATGACCTTGACCCGTCCAGCGTCCCGGAAACTGCCTAGAAAGAAAAGAAGATCAAAATAAAACCCACGTCCGGGTAGTGTCAAGTCAATGAACCATTAACCAAGACTTTGTATCAGCACAAAGCCTCACAATAATTACTCCTATTGAAACTGGCAGCTGTAAGTTGCTGACAAAATAAAACAAGTTTTTAGGACTTTCGTTAATTTAAATTTAGCAATTGGTGTTATATTAAGTAATCCCGTGTTTGAGTGGCTTCTCATTCACTTAAGTTCAGAGGGTTATAAATAGGCTATTTTATGGTATTTTTCTATGAGATTTTTTTTAGGAAAAAAAAAATTTTACCTTTTCCACCACTCTCCGCACGCTTTCCATCTCCTAGTGTCAAGTCCAATATTCAATGGGTAAAATACACTTTATCCCCTGTGGTCTAGCAATTTTTCACATAATCTCTTATAGTTTCAAAAGTTATATGTAATCCCTCATAATTTAGATTAAAGTGTCAAAATAACGGAAATGATCATTTGTAACGAAACCCATAGAAATATCGAAATTACCATTGTTTAAAAACTAAAATGGCTGAAGTGACCGAAATATATCAACATAATATACATGACACTCTAACTCCGTACGGTTTTATATTTTACCATATAACTCCCTTATAGTTTAGTATTTTACCATATAACTCCCTTATAATTTTCAAAAAATATATATAACTCCCTGTGATTAATAAATAATTTTCAACTTTACATAGGAGTATTTTTGACCATTTAGTTGGTCATTCCAACCATTTTGATTTTTAAATAAGAATAATTTTGATATTTTCACGGGTTCCGTTACAGAGGATCATTTCTATCAATTCGACACTTTAGTCCAAATTATGAAGATATTATATATCATTTCTATCAAATAGGATAATTTTTTTTTTTTTACATTTTCCACCTCTCTCCGCATCCTTCCCATCTCCTAATGTCAAGTCCAATATTCATGAGGGGATTATGTATAACTTTTAAAATCATAAGGGGATTACGTGAGAAAATACTATATATCATGGGGAGGTAAAGAGTATTTTGCCCTATTAGAACATTCAGCCAACTTCTCGCCTTGAACCTTTATTTTTCCCCATAGTGGATGTTAACAAATACTCTTCTGTTTTTCCAACCTCCGGTGTGCATTTCCATTTTAGCAATCCAGGTGGGCTCTTAGTTTATAAAAAAATTTCAATAGTTTATGCTTTACACAAACCCATATTGATTTTCTTTCAATATTGCTAGTCAGTGAAAAAGGCAATTGAGGTGGGCAAAAAGTTAACTAGTTTTATGGGTGCAGATAATTACAGTTAGTGGTCCAACAATGAAATGTTTTCTTTTTAAAATCTAAAATGTACTTTGAAACTAGAAACTCACAAAACGTAGACGTCAATTACTCAATGAAACTAGAATGTAGTATTTTCAGATTATAAGAAGATAATGGAAGTAGAAGTGCCATGGCATCCTTTGAGGGTCCATTTAGGATTGTTGTAAATTATTGAGAAGTATTTTACCTAATAAAGCTTTTAATAAAAGCACTTGTTAAGTATTCAAGTACTTTTAAGTATATTGTTTGGATACATGATTCAATAAGTACTTATTATACTAGATAATGTGTAAATTTAAATTTTTTAAATGTATTTATCTCTTTATATTTAGTTCATAATATAGGATAAAATAATTAAATTTAATATTTTATTTTTTAAAACATAAAATCTATTATAAAAGTATCAAATTTTAGCTTTTACTAAAAATACTTTTAACATCAGAAATTTCACCCCTAATTTTATGGAATAATATTTACCAAACATTTCAAAATTGCTTTTAGCATCCAAAATGGCTTTTTTTTGTAGCAAACTTTCGTGGACAAACAAAACAAAGAATATCAATCATGCTTTATAGGGAAGTCTATTGATGTGGGTCTTGCGAAAATTAATGGGAATCTTTTGACTATGGACCATGGAGACTATTTTTATACTTTGCACTGTGGACAGCATTGTTGAAAGAGACAGCATCGAGAAAAAGCAACAATAATTTCTTCTTTTTTCATTTGATCATCGACCACTGTGAAAATAAGAATGTGAAAAGGTAAATCATTTATGAATTTAACATTGAATTGGATGGTAAAATGAATTTAACATTCTCAGATATCATGTTCCCGGATACGCAGTGCATCCATTTGGTTCGATGGTGGTTCTGTTCTTATCGGTCCCTGTAGGTCCAATTGGGCCTCTCCCATAGTTATATTAAGATTAGGGTGTGAATTGAAATCGAATTCGGTAATTTGAAACTTTGAAATCGGAATTTTTTGAAATTTTGGTGTCAGAATTTTTGACCAATTTCGATTTCGAATTCACCAATCCCGAATTCGAATTCGTTTCAAATTCAATTCGGAATTCGGAAAATTCAGATTTCATCGAATTCATTAATATAAAAATTATTATTATTATTATATAAATATTATGTTACATATATATATAAAATATTATATATATGTGTGTGAAAAAGAAATTGAAATCGAAATAGGAATTTTGATTTCACAGAATTCATGAATATAAAAATTATTATTATAATATAAATGATATATTATATATATGTTATATATATATATTTGAAAAATCTCATTACCGATTTGAAAAATCTCATTAACGAATTCGACCAATTTGAAATCGGATATTCCGAATTACTGAATTCAAAATTCCGAATTCAATTCGAATTCGGTCGATAAATCGGAATTTTTTGATTTTGTACACCCCTAATTAAGATAGATTGGAATATAGATAAAAAAAAGTGATCAGTGACCAAAAAAAAAAAAGTACCATCTAATGACCATTGCAACCCTTAAATTATACGTTCGTTCGTTGATTCAAAGTCAGGGTTTATCAGTTGTACCCTCAAGTCTCTAGTCTCTCTTCAATGGCCGCTAGTAGTAGGGATGGCAATGGGGGCGGGTGCCCGCGGGGGGCTCTCGGGGCGCGGGTTGGGGCGGGGGGTGGGGCGGGGGCGGGGGGGAATTTTTTCCCCCCGCTTAGAAACGGGGCGGGGGGCGGGGGAGTATTCCCCCGCCCCATCCCCCGCCCCGCCCCCCGCAAAACAAAAAAAAAATATAAAAATATATATAATTATATATAACATATAAGTTAATTAGTTATAAACTTATGATAATGATATTATTAGTTAGATATACTATATAATGTATATTAGTTTATGTAATATAATTGATATAATCAATTATATGAATAATTCTACATGTCTACTAATAGAATTTATTAATTAGTTATATTAAATTTACTAATATATTTATACTAAATTTCTAATTACACTTAATAGAATAACACTTTTTTCTAAAAAAAAAAGCACAAACACAATAATGAATTAGTGATTGCATTTGTACTAAAAGTGAAAACTTGACTATTTTAGTTATATTTATTTCATCATATTGGATTGTATTAAAATAACTTTTGTTTGATTATTTTTATGAGTTTCAATTGTAAAATTACAATAAATAATAATTTGGTGATGTGTTGATATTTTAGTACTTGATTATTTATTAAAATTTAATTATAATAAAATTTTATTAACCCCGCGGGGGCACCCGCGGGGGAAGCGGGGCAGGGCGGGGGGAGCAGGAGGCGGGGGACGGGGCGGGGGACGGGGGGAACTAATAGGCAACGGGGCGGGGGACGGGGGAGGGGTCCCCCGCCCCAACCCCGCCCCGTTGCCATCCCTAGCTAGTAGTCACTTTCAGGGCATGTACAACGTCGCATTGAAGCCTTAGCTGCTACGGTCACTTCTCAGGGAATAGATCCCAGACGAAAAACGTCCCTTCAGAAACCTTCGGACCTCTCTTGCGTCGTCTCTGCCGTTAAAGCTCATCGTCTCCTCTCGGAATGGGCCCCATCTTCCACCGACCAGAAGCTCATTGACGGCTGGAAGTCCTCCGTCGATGCCTGGGTCAATCGAGTCTCCGCCCTTGCTTCCAGCACCATGGTAAAATATTCTAGAGCACACTCTATGTTTACATTTCTCCTCAATCATTAGTAACACTTGATCATATGCTTGTAAAACAAGATGGGACACGCATTTATGTTAGAGGTATGTAAACTGAGAAAGTATGAGTCAAAATGGTATGGAACTGAGTCAGAGAGTCTCAAATTAGCAAAAATACAACCCATCTCAACTTCACAAAACATCAGTTTAGAACCCTTATAATTTATAAGAAGTTTAACCCCATGTTGATTGTAGTAATAGAGAAAATTGGACTGTAAACCGATGAGTTAAATTAAGTTCATAACTGAAAGCTGTGAACATCTTAATTTGTGGTTCCAACAAGTTATGCAGTTTTTTTTTCATTAGTATATGCATGTATATACATTTTTTCTTTTGTTATATAACCTCGTTTGTTTCTTTTTGTGATTTAGAATATGTTTTCATATATATCTTTTGCCAAATTTACTAACAAAAAAATCGTGCACCCATTGTGCATCCTATGCCAATTTTGTGTGACAATTTTTTTCCCTTACCTGCCTTTCTCTTAATCCATATTTGATATAGGTTTGACTTTGTAGCATGCTACAACAGATTTTTTTTTTTAGCATCTTACTTTTTTTTGGAGGGATTTTAGCATCTTACTCAGTGGCAATAGTTTTGGTGCTTATGAAATTTGAAGTGATGTTTTTTAGAGTAGTACTGGTGATACTAATAAAAAAAATCTTCTTGTAATTCGTTCAATTCAATAACCCTTTACTATCTCTTTCCTTCTTTCGCAAACAAATACAGATGCACTCAGAGATCTGTCACATGGAATTGTTTCTCCTAATGGTGGTGGTTCTTGACAGGGATTGCAATGTATCTGATCCAAGAAGTTATAAACAATGCATTGCTTGATCTGGATCCTCATGGTCATGACAGTGGTGGCTCGTACTCTGCTGAACGCTCAAAGACCTTGGAGGAAGCACCGCAACAATCTTTTCAGAAAAAAGGAAGCATCCAACTTCAGTTGAATCTGTTGGAGACCAATCTGCTAAAGGTGGTCTAGAAGTGGAGACATACCAAAATATGACTGCAATATCTGTCAGGATTGCTGCATTAGAGGCATTAGAAGCTCTTTTAAGTATGGCATGTTCCTTCTTTAGCTAATTAAATGCATTGAGTTACCGTCATTTATATGCTTATGAGAATACTACTTTAGCTATTGACTTAGCAAAAGGTGTGCTCACAAACTATCTCAAGTTGGTCTTTCATTCTGCTTCTTTCAAAAGTATGCTTCTTTCTACTGTCTCCGTGGTTATTTTGGAATAAGAATTCACTTTGGAAGCCTTAGAGAGGTGCTTCATTTTTGGTCTTGTACTATGGTAGATCCTGTTAATTTTGCTTTTTATGTAGCCAGTATTTAAGCACCTGGTGCTAAAACTTCATGTAGATGGTGTAACGGTCTATCTAGCTGTACTTATCTGGAGTTATATGCTTACCGGTATCTATTTAAAGTAGTATGCTTAGTTAGTCTTGCCGTTGCTATGTCATACACATCTAATTTGCTTTAGTGTTAAATATCATCCATTATGGCTGTGATGTTATAGTTGGTGCTAAGTTGACCCAGACTTCAGGCATTTTCAGGCCTTATTTAGGAGGCCTATGCACTGAATTTGCCCCTTGCACGTGTAATTATGTTTCCATATTGTCACTTAATGGGATAATTAGCCTGATTTTCTGAGATGGTAGGCATCTACTTTATTGGATGTACTTGTCAGTATTTCAGTATTCAAATGAATGCAGCTCTTATTTTTCTCTAATTGTGATTCCAATAAACTGTATATGCTTTCAGAGCTTACAATGAAAATTTTTATTTTTTGTCAACAGGCTGGTGCCATGAGATCAGATGGTTGGCGATCAAATATTGATCGTCTCCTTATAACAGTTGCAACAAATGCTTGCAAAGTGGGATGGGCTAACAACAATAGTACCGTAGTTTATGGTGAAGCTACTCCTGTATGGGCAGACTTCCAACTTGCTGCTTTACGCGCACTTTTGGCATCCCTTCTTTCTCCTGGTCGTGTTCGCCCTCCACATCTTGCTCAGGGTCTCGAACTTTTTCGTAGAGGTAAGTGCTGTTCAATGTCATCTTCTTCCCATGCATCTCCATGGGCTGTCTCCAAGTTTTACGTGTGAATTGGAGGCACGAACAATTTTATATAATTAAGATAGATAAGGGGATACCAGGTCAAGTTGGTAAACCTGAAATAGAGGTTGCTTGATTTTGTCCTTTGTGTAACTAACATGAGCGGTATAATTGGAGTACTTGTTAAAATGCTTGTCAAATGAGTGATATATCCCTGCAATTTGTCGTGGTAATTTCATTTGATGGTAAGAGGTCTTCATTATTTCAGTTCTGTAAGATATGGAAGGAATAACGGTACTTGTAAGAGGTTCTTCTGCAGAGCTACTTGAACCTTTTTTCCTTTTTTTTTTTAAGTTAACAGAATTGAAAAAGTCTACTTTTCTTAGCTTCTTGCTCATAGATTTATGTGTTCTGGTGACTGCAGGCAGTCGAGAATCTGGAACAAAAATTTCTGAATATTGCTGTCATGCTCTTTTGACCTTGGAAGTTCTCATACATCCTAGGGCCCTTCCATTTATAGATATTCAATCGGCAGTTGACCATTATGGTAGTGCTAGTCTCAACCTTCCAGACGTACACTTCGCAGATCACAGAAAGAACACTTCATTTCATTTTAGCACACTAGGAAAGGAGCCTTCTCAGCCATAGTCTGGGGATGATGATCTGTACGAAAGGTGGTTGGCAAATGGCGATGAAACAGATGTCAATGACCTTGGAAAATATACCAGCAGTGATAAAGAATCCTCTGGGACCTCTACCCATCCAGCATTTGAAAAGCTTCCTCGTGGTGATTCTCCTTCCGAAAGAAATGAGCATGAAGGTGGTGATTTGGGGCATCAGTCTATTCCATCCGTCAATGAGCTTTTGGTCGGTGGAAGATGGGGCTCATTCCGAGAGGAGACAATGAGTTTTAATGGCAGAGACAACGTGAGAGAGGTCCGAAAGGTTTCTGATGGGTGTTTTTCGTCCGGGATGTATTCCCTGAGAAGTGACCGCAGCATCTAAGGCTTCAATGCGACGTCGTACACGCCTTGAATGTGACTACTGGCCGCCATTGAAGAGAGACGAGAGAGTTGAGGGTATAATTGATAAACCCAGCATTTTTTATTTTTTTTTATTATTTTTTTTTATTTTTTTTGTCAATCATCATTTTTGTATTTATATCCTAATCTAACTACAGGGAGAGATCCAACTGAACCTACGGGAGGCGGATAGGGACAGGATTATCACTTAATCAGATGAGTGCACTACCCACCGAGGAACATGGTACCTGAGAATGTTAAATTGATTTTACCACCCAATTCAATGTTAAATTTATAGATGATTTAACTTTTCGCTTTCTTGTTTTCTTTTGAGTTTTTTTTTCAATTATTATCTTATAGCCTTTAAGGTTTCATATCATTCCGTAAGAATTAATCCACATAATTGATGAGAACTTATAGTTTTTTTCATCCCAATTTTTTTTTATCTCACTTTGAAGACAAACTTGTAAATTTCATTGGATATAAAACTTCGAGCTATTTCTAATTCCTGGCTTATTACTAACTATGTTACATTTGGATGCCAAAATAAACATTTATGTATCATCAAATGAAAATCACTACAAATCCTTCACGGGTAGTCCGACTAATTTCGTAATCTGATAATTATCGGCAGATCCCATTATTAATCCCCGTGTACTACATGGCTGCATATTTTTGGCGTAAAACTCTACATTGCTACGTATTTTTGGGGTAAAAACTCTGCGCAGCTTTAAGAGGTTAGTCTAGTCAAAAGGTTGGAATCCCCAAAAGTGAAAAAAAAAAGGAAAAAGAAAATACCACAATGGTTCTAAAATAATGAGCATTCCCACTGATTGACTGAAATTGCAGCTGCAAGAGAGGCTTGCACCAAACCCCTTCAAAAATAATTTAGGCTTACGGTTCTGTTGATGTCGCAATTGCAGGAGGTTCAGAAGATAACGAAAGGCTCAGCTAAGATTTCTTAAGGTGTTTGGCTTATATTGCTAGATTTACTTAATCTATTTTCATTCTTCTCCGATGTCATTATTGTTAAAGTTCAATTCATAAGTTGGTTGTGTTAGAAAATTGGCTTAATTTCTTTTTAGATAGGTTTTTGTTTTGTGCAAAAGTAACTAGTTTTCTAATTGGTTTTAGTTACTCGGAATAGTAGCCAAAAAATTTCTTATTTTGTTTAGAATTAGAAGTTATTTCTTATTTTCTACAAGTCTAGGAATTAGAATTAATTTCCTGTTGTTATTTGGATTTTTTGACCAAATAATATTTTTATAAATAGGTGGATTGGCATACTATAAAAGAGACACATAAGGGCACACAAGGACGACATGTAACCTTATACATGGGTGGTGAGAGAGAGTTCTTAGGAGATGAGAAATGGTATACAATGGTTGGACTTGAGTTCGAGTTGTATTCTTGTATAAGGTTTTTCTCTCATAATAAATAACAAGTTTCTCTCCTTGGACGTAGGTTCAATGGAGTCAAACTACGTTAAATATTGTGTGTTGTTTATCTTTTATACTTGTGACTTGTTTCTCATTAAATTATTGTGTACTTGATATCTTAATAGTTATTTATTCTGCATTTAGTTCCTAACAAATGGTATCAGAACTTGATTGCGAGATTGGGCTGCTCACAAGCACTTGGATCCCAACAAACTGAATAGTTGGATCAAGAGTTTGGTTGTTCAAGGATGGATCCTAGTTAGCTATTGAGATCAAGTAGGTTGGTGACTGTTACCAATTGAACAATTTAATGGGCGGTATCCTTATTTCAAGAGTTTAGCAAAAAAGCATTGACGGTGAATGATGAAAAGTCGAAAAGCATGGAGATACTTGATGGTGAATCTAGGCAGATGATTCAAGAGTCAAGGAAAAGGTGGAATCCAATATCGATTTTGGACGTGAATCGGTGGAAACTTTCTCACAACTTCAATGGTTGATACTTCATCTCGGTGATTTTTAGATTTCACTTATGTTTTTTGAGTGGTACGGCATGTGTCCCAAAAAAATAAAGAGATTTAATTTCTATGCGCTAGAAGATTCTGACAGTTACGAGTCTTTTGTTTCAGGTGAATTTTTGGAAACCACACGTGGCGAGATAGTCTTGAGGAAGGGAAGAAGTATGATGATTTTATCACTTGGTTGCCTCAATGGTTAAGGTTAGAGCTCATACAAGGAGATTTTGGGTTGTAAGTGGTGGTGAGAAGAAATCCTGTAAAGAAAAAAGGTGAATTGGGGTATCTTCTCACGAATCAACTGGAGGTTGTACTAGGTGTAAATACACATATTCATTTGGCAATTAAATCAATTTGGTATCAGAACTGTATTGATTCGGGTGTGTAGTTCGGTACCATATTATTTGGTAGTTGAAAATAAATAATTGTTAAAAGAAATTTTCGCCAAGATAGAGATTTGTTAGGAAATTGATTTAATTTCTTTTCAGATAGGTTTTTGTTTTGTGTAGAAGTAACTAATTTCCTAATTAGTTTTAGTTGAAATAGTAGCCAAAGAATTTCCTATTTTGTTTAGGATTAAAAATTATTTCCTATTCTATACAAGTCTAGAAATTAGAATTGGTTTCCTATTATTATTTAATTTTTTGGCCAAATAATATTCTTTATAAATAGGTGGGTTGGCATACTACAAAGAGACACACAAAAGCACACAAGAGACGACATATAGCCTTATACATGGGTGGTGAGAGAGGATTTTTAGGAGATGAGAGATGGTATACAAAAGTTGAATTGGGGTTCAAGTTGTGTTCTTGTATAGAATTTTTCTCTTATAATAAAGAACGAGTTTCTCTCTGTAGATGTAGATTCAATGGTGGAGTCGAACCACATTAAAAAATAGTGTGTCATTTATCTTTCATGTTTGTAGCTTGTTTCTCATTAAATTGTAGCGTACTTGATATCTCAATAGTTGTTTATTCCATGTTTGGATCCTAACAGACTGCTAAACCAAGATTGATGTAATTGCGTCCTGTAAGAGAGTTTGCAATTCAATTGATTAAGGGAAGAACAGAGAAAATCCCTGAAAATGGGAATTAAAGGAAACAAAGGAAACCCTAAAACTAGTTTCCAAGAACAATTCTGTCGAAGACAGAAAACAAAGAAAATAGTATCAAAGGCTATATCGTTATTTAGGAAACAAGAAGCACTTGAAGGTGAATGTTGCAGAAAGTAGAAGATCCCACTACAATTTACTAATTCAAGGAGCTGTAATTAAGAAAGAAAGAAGACAACTCAGAGAATTAGGGATTGTTATTAATTGATGAATGAGTAGGAAGAATGTAGATGAAGATGATAATCAATTACAAGTAATGGAAATCGGAAATCCTAGAACTGCCTTCAACTTACCACCCTCCTCTCTTTTATTCGGCTACTACACTTGTCCAAGTCAGCTAATTCATTACAACCAACTGACATACAAGAATTATAAGGATTTATTCATTAAGTCCCTATCATACTCGCTTTATTACAAAAAAAAAAAAACCCTATCAATAAAACTAAGGTAACAAATACTTCCCCCTCAGAGAATCCTTGTCCTCAAGGATTAAATTCAGGAAATTGTTGTTTAAGGTCAAACCAGAATTCCCAGATAGCATCTTCAAGAAAAGAATTGCTTCACTATGCCAAAACTTTTGTAGCAAGAGAGTTACCACATTTCACCAATTTCTGATCAAGTATGGCTATAGGCTCCATTAATAATTATCCCTATGTATTGATTGTGTATTGATTGCAAAAGGAATGTGTGAGGTAACTAGTGAGTGCCCACTTTCTTCTTTAGAAGAGATACATAAAAAATAGAGTGTATTTTTGCCATATTAGGCAGCTAAAGCTGATATGCAACAGGGTGTACTCTTTTGATCACTTGGAAAGGTCCAAAAAACTTAGAAGCTAACTTCTGACAAGAGTGTACCTTCAAAGAGTGTTGCCTCTACAGTTGTAGTTTCACATATACCCAATCTCTTGCTGAGTACTGTCTATCAGACCTGTGTTGGTCAGCTTGTTGCTCCATCCTATTTTGTGCCTTATGAAGGTTGTACTTTAAGTGATGCAAAACTATCTCCCTTGCTGCCAAGATTCTATCCACCACTTCCACTACTGAATTCCCAAGTAGACAAGGCATATGCAGAGATGGTGCATGACCATACACCACCTCAAATTGGATAACCTTAGTGGCAGCATGAAATTTGGTATTGTACCAATATTCAGCCAAGGGTAACTAGATAGACCACTGCTTTGGAAAATCTCCACACAGGCACCTCAAATATTACTCCAAACACCTGTTTACCACCTCAGTTTGACCATCTGACTGAGGGTGGTAGGTAGAAGAGGTATTAATCTGCACTTTTAGTAACTTAAAAAGTTCTTGCCAAAAAGTGCTAATGAAGACCACATCCTTGTCACTAACAATGCTATGAGACAAGCCGTGAAGTCTACAGATCTGATCCAGGAATATGTGCAAATATAAATGCTGAATAAGCATGTGACAATGCCAAGAAGTGTGCATACTTACCTAACTTGTCAACCACCACCAAGATGGCTTGTTTACCATGTGCATTAGGTAAACCTTCCATAAAGTCCATGGAAATTCACTCCAAACCTTTTGAGGCACACGTAAAAGTCGTAATAAACCCAAATCAGCAGTATTGTCATATTTGTTGCACTGACAGACATCACATGCAGCCACATAGTTGACTATGTCTTGATACATTCTTCTCTAATAAACCACTGACTTCAACTTCTTTTAGGCAGCATAAACTCCTGAATGCCTCCAACAGCACTAGAATGCCACAAGTGAATTATATTATTCTTGAATTGGCAGTCATTTTCTACCACTAGTCTCCCCATCCTCCTTAACTGCTAGTTGCTCCATGTGTAATAAGGTGAGACCTTAGAAAGATCAAATTGTAATTGAGTGATGAAGTTCTATAGCCTTATATCTATTTGCCATCCCTTTTTAATCACTATCAAAGATCACTGTTAACAATGATGATGGCAAGAGCTTCTCTTGGTTCTGCTAGTTTTCTAAAGAGAGTATCTCTCACCATATTATATGCTTCTTTCCTGTAGTGAAGCTCATAATAAAATCTTACTAGCTTAGCCATCCATTTCTGCTGCATAAGAGTAGGGCTGTCAATGGTCCGGGTCTAGACCCGGACCCGGACCGGATCCGTTAAATTTATCTGGGTATGGGTAGGGATTTAATTCCGTTACCCGGACCCGGATCCATTTTGCCAAACAAAAAAACGGGTCGGATATGAAATATAGTATTCCGACCCGTATTGGACCCGGATCCGGATATAAATGAATTACTAATTTAAAAAATATATATTTATTAATATAATTTGATTAGGATGATG